GAGTAGTCTTTATAGTCATTAAGTGTCTTTCTGATGACTTCTTCATAATGTTTCAATCATGAGCTTGCTCCTGTGCCACTTTTCACCTGAATGTTTTCCTCCCTCCATGGTGATTCTTTCCAGAGGAAACAAAAAGACTTCAAACAGGTGGAGGTTTCTTTATAACAGATGCAGTCTTGCATTTCATTTTTCTTGGGTATCAACACTTCATTGTGAAAGATTTCTTTCTCTTCCTCCCACAATCGCTGTATGATAGGCAGAGTGGATTGAAGTCAGCACAAGTGTCCCCCATCTGGGGAAGCTCTTATTGGTAATGACTATTTCACATGGAAGATGGGAAGGATGGGAAAGATGGGAAAGGAAAAAACACAGAAAATCCAGGAAACCACATTCAATTTTCTCAGATTTTACTATTTCAAATATAATCCTAAAAAGTCTGCACATCTACTGTCTATGTACATACAGCATAACAATATATACTTGTCCGACAATTACAGTCCCACTTGTTCAGGTATACTCAGCTAAAGAAGTCTGAAGACTTACTCCCTACCATTAGTGTCCAGTGTTGTGGGTGGGGAAGCAAGCAGGGCGCTCATGATCTGTGATCACAGCTGTGCAACCCAGGTATTTAAATAGGATCTCATTTGTCTCAACTTTTCTGTTCAGATGTTTAAAAGTAATTGTATGTAAAGTAATTATCTAAAACATTGAATTATTTCATTGTGCTTATATTTATTCATTGTTATATTTATTTGTTAATAAACTTTGTAAATATTGGTGGCTCTGCAATGCCATTTATTGGAGCCTTTCTATGATATTATTGTGGTTTGAGCCTACTCAGCAGTTAAATGCCACACAGTCACTCACCCACCCTCCCCCCACTTGGGAATGGGGAGGGAATCAGAGGGGCAAAGGGAGACTTGCGGGTTGAGATAAAAACAGTTTAATAACAGTAACAGAACAATACACTGACAGCAGTATCAACAGGTAATGTACAGTACAGCTGCTCACTAGCCACCAACCAACACCCACCTGCTCCCAGCCGGCGATCCCCAACACAAAAGCCCCACAGCCACACTCCCAGAAATGAGAGCCCCTCCTGGCCCACTCCTGCCTTTATATAGTGAGCACAAGGTCACATGACATGGACTATCGGCCAATCGGGGCCCAGCCCTCCAGCTGTGCTCCCCCCGCCCCCGCACACAGGTGAGGGCACTGGGACCTGGGGAGCCCCTGGGGTCTCAGGGTGCTGCAGCTCCTCCCGCTGCCAGACCCACGGGAGCTCTAGGCCAGCGCCAACCAGGACAGATATAAATTATGTTATGATTTACTGTGAATAAACAGACCTTTATCAAAGGAGCAGAACTCTTCCCCTCTGTTTGCTGTAGAATATTTTTTCACTAAAATCTCCATTACCCTGGCATATCCTTCAAAAAGCAGTATCTGGGACACTGTACACACGCAAATAAGATCTGATAACAGATACAGAGCACTATGATAATGGCCCTCCTAATTCAAGTTCATCTCTTCCTAGTACTACAACAGTAAAAGCCACTTTTCCTTTTTTACTTCCTTTTGTGATTTCTTATTTTCTTTGGTGTACAGGGATTTTCTTAAATGATTTTTTTTTTTTTTAGAATCATTAACAATTATATATTTTGTTTGATACAGTAAGGTTATTATCCTGTATCATACTACCTGCCTTTAAGGAAAATGCACTGGACATTAGTCTGACAGCCAAGAATATAAACTAAAAAGAACTGGATTATGGGAAAGCACATCATGATCCTGAAAGACAATTCCCCACTGTGTTGAACGTGGGTGTAATATTGAGGACAGTCAGATCTGCACATGTCATAGTCCTCTTATTTTGTTGACAGCTTTCTACCCTGTTAAGCTGATGAATGAGATATATGAATTACGGTGTGCACCTGACATATCTCAGTAAGAGGCTTTTACTTTTGGTGCTGCAGCTGTGCAACTACTGCTTTCTTTCACAGCAAAGTTTCTTCATGTGCAACTCTATCTTTAAAGTTTTGGTGCGATCACTTTAAGGACATTTGCCCATTGGTTAAAAAGCAACACGATCTATTTCTAACAATCCGAATCACCCAATCAGACTAAAATTGGAAAGTACAGTGTCCATGCAAGGGAGGAAAAATGAGCTTGTGTAGTGATCTGTTAAGGATATCCATGTTCCATTTAATCTGGTTGGACACTTTCATAATCATTATTGGAATACTGTTCACCTAGACTTATTTTACTACCAGTGAGGAAGCTGTTCTTAACTGTTTGTTCACATAAATATCCTCTACACCCTACTGCTAATACAAAGAACCATTTTTCTCACCAGCATGCGGTCCTGCACAGCGTTAGTGGTAACCTATGTACCTCGTCACTTCTGTGGGTTTGAGTGGAGATTATACTGGACTTCATTTGGAGCTCCTTGTCACAGCCAATTTCTGGTGCCAGAGCATCTTTCTTCAGTTGAACCAGTAGATTTTAGAGATGGGTAATACCATTTTGAACCTGTCATAATACAGCCACCAATGGAGTACAATTATATCACTGGCTGCTACAATAAAATTAAGCCATTAGAAGAAGAAAAAAAGTCTAAGGAGGGACAGGAAAGACTGTGAACATAAGCAAATACCTGTCCCCTTCTTCCCCATCTGCAGATCCCTTACTGAGTTCAGAGGATGTCACAGGTCTAATATCCCAAATACATCTATATCATCCTGTCATCAACATCCCATAAGTGTTACTCTATTGTGGGTGCAAAATTTAAATATCACACACTACCAGTGCTTTTTTATATTCATGCAAGCTTGTTTTCCTACACTGCTTTCACTGTCCTTTAGATACTAGTTTAGCATTTGCTTTGCCACCTTATCTGTCTGAGCCCTTTTCATCTCTACATTGTTGCCTCTACAATACATACTTTGAGTACATCTTTTATATAACTCTCCTAAAAGCTTTTTGCCCAAAAAGCTAAGCTGAAATACATATTTGAATGAAAAGTGGTTCTGTTGAATTAAGAAGTCCCTCTGTGGAAAAGTTGAGAAGAAGGGTTATGTAATATGAAGTTGTTATTTCTACAATTTTTAATACCTTAAATTTATATAATGATATTTCTGTTGCAAATCTTCTTAGAGGAAATAACTATTCATAAAATAATACTGTAAATTTTATAGCACTCTGATGGATTACAAAACTGTTCCTCTGAAAAATGAAGAATAAATTAATTACGAGAAAACAAGTTTTTTCTAACTTGTTTATGAGACAAGTCATAAAACTGGGATACTGACAACTGGGAACAATAAAACCTCTGTTCATCCCTCATTGGGTCTAAGCTTGAAGGTAAATTTTCCAAGTGCTGTATTTGAGCTAAACACCAGTGCTCATCCTTCTCCTCTCATGAATGTATATTTTACTTTTTTGTGCTGAGTAAATTAGTGCATTTGAAATCTGAAACATGTTTAACAGTCCCTTCATTTTCATTCTAGACACTGGATATTATTTTTGTCCCTGGTGAAGCTGCTATTTATTGACATTGCAGCTGTGCTAATAAGAGTCTAGGCTTTGATGAAAACAGTGTCTTGTGCAGGAGGAGTCACTATCTGAGGTCTTGACTTCTGCCTTGTGTGACAGCTGAGTCCTAGTCTAGAGCACAGGGAATGTGCTGGAGCCCAGGTGACTGCAGCAGGCTTCCTGAGTGCTCTGCAACACAGGAGCAAAGTTTAAGCCAGGCAGAGAGTGATCAAAATAGAACAGAACTATACAGATAAAGGTCACCTACATCAGATACACTATGACTAACTTATAATAGTTAGGGCTAGCTTTAAACAACTCATTAAGTTTTAAAATAAAACAAATCAAGTTTATTTTTTATGCTTCAGTTATTCAACTTTTAGAATTTAAAGGTGCTCTCTATAGTCATTAACATCAGTACCTTTTTAGTGGGAAAAAAAACAAACAAACAGACAAACAAACAAACCAAACAGTCTGAGATTCTTCTACAAATCTCTAACTGTAAGACCTGGGTCTTTTGAAAAACTGAAATAACATGTCCATGATAAAACAGCAGAAATATGCAATGCTTTAGTGAGATATATACATTTTTAATGGAGTTGAGTCAAACTTTGTCAGTACTTCCAAGAAAATCCATTGTAAAAGCAGATAGAGGGGAATTACCCTGAGAAGTTTGGGATGTTTTGTTTGATTCGGGTTTTTAGTCACTTCTGTCTACTCATGATCTGAATGTTGCAAGCAGAAAGGTTAACAGAATGAGACTAAATTTCTGTGTGTGGTACAGTGTTACACAATTCCATAATACTCCAGCCACAAGCAACCAAGAAACAGAAGAAACACATGGATCTGCATGATGTTCTGCCCAGCTTCATTAGTCATGTCTGCAGAGGATTTATTGCTTCAGATGCAATGCCATACTGTCTCAGCATCTGAGCTCTGAGCTGGTATTTCTGCTTGAGCAGTGTCAGCTCATTCAAAATTTGCTTCTGGCTCTTGGTGTCATGCTCCAGTGTGCAGTGTAGGCACAGTCTGCAACACAGTCCTGCCCTTCGCACTGTAAGAGGTCCTGTCTACAAGGTCACCTCTATTCAGGTAACTGTAGTATCAACCCAGTATCAATATAGCACTGAATCCAAGATTTTCTGCCCAGAGCTGTGAGGCTTAAAGTGAGGCAGAGATGTGCTTATACAAAATAGATTTCAGGATCTGTGATTTTTAATGTTATTTCAATTACCTGAAGTGGAGGATGAAAAATATATCTTCTAAGTAGAAAGTGCAAATGACAAACAAACATAAAGAAAAGGAAAACACTGAATTATTTTACTAGAAGTATAACAGGTGCTTCACTAAACTCCACTGAATCATAGGTGTGGGTGTACGCTCTTAAGCTCCAAATTTTATTTTTAAGAAATTTCTTTTTTTATTCTTTTGAATGGTTAATGTTGTCTCTCTTTCATTTATCCCTGAAGTGATGGCTGGGCAGACAGGTATGATGTGACAGAAGGGTATCAGCGTGAAGCTGTCGGTGGAATAACGATCAAGCTCCAGTCTCCTGACGTGAAATGGTTTGATGATTACTACTTACAACTTCGGCCAGAAACCAATCATCGAAATCCATGGTTTCAGGAATTTTGGCAGCACAGGTTCCAGTGCCGTTTGGAAGGGTTTCCTCAAGAAAATCCTAAATACAACAAGACTTGCACACGTAAGTGAATTAATTTCTTCTGCTGTGTATACCAGTGTGACTGAAAGTCTGATGTACACAGCTCGTGTTGGACTGATACAGCCTGGTCTGGTGGAACAGTAAGTGGGGTTAGAAGGAAGGAGATTGGAATTGCAATCCTTGCTCTTTCAAAATTATGACAACCACAATTTTGAAAGTATTCAGATTTCTAAAGAGACAAGTAATACCTCAGTACGTAACTCCTCTCTATATTTGAAAGACTTGATGCTACTCTACCTCCATAGGCATCTAAACACTTTCAAAACTTTTTTAATAAAAAATTCAATGCTTCTTTTCTTAAACAGGGCTAATCATACTTCTTTAGTTCACAGGAATAATGAGAGAGTTAATAAACTAAAAGTTATCTAAAGTCCATATGGTAATGATGATTATTTGTGTACTTCAGATAGAAGACTAGCTGGTTTGAAAGCTTTCATTAGGTTTTCTTTCAGCCATGAGTCATTTCAGGAAATGCCATTTTGAGCTGATCTTTTTCATTAAATTGTACTGATTTTAGCAAAAGCTGCCACAACATTTTGTCATTTTGCAAAACAGTGGCAAAAACATTTTCCCCAGAAAGATGCGGTACATTTTTCTGTTGGCTTTTTTTTTTTTTTGTATTATTATTATGTCTGTTAATTACTCTTTATTTCATGAGATGCCAAACAGTACTAAGTCAACGGGCATTCTGCCGGTGCTGTGGCATAAGATGGTGTGCTGGGCATTATCCCAAACACAGCTCTAAGCCCCAAGGGACCTTCCCTCCTAAAAATGTCAGTATCTTCCACACACCTATGAGACCAAGAAATGGTTTTAAGGACCTAAGTCTTGGATTTACACAATGCAACCCCCCCCCAGGTCCCACTTCATATTCATAAATCTTTCTGTTGATTTGGGCAAGGTTGCAGAGGAAGTCTCTGGCTGAGATGAAAATTGAGCCTAGGAACCACAAAATCTCAGTGTATACCTTCAACATTCAACTGACTTTTCTATATTAGTTTTCTTCTGCTACCATTCCAACACAGCCTGACAAAAGTTTTATTTGCACTATTGACAGGTACTGCATATTGAGCCGTAATCTTCATTGATTTCCCCACGATAATGTAGATCTCTTTCTTGAGATGTCAGTACAATGGGCATGACTGGATACAGGCTAATAAAGACCTCGTTCATAGCACTATGCTATGTTAGCAACGAGATTTCAATTTGACTTTTCTGGTGTTCTTTTTTTACATACTTACCAACATTGGGAGAATCTAATTTCTGTTTTATATGAAAGGTCGTAAACTGTGAAATGTAGGTTCCTACAGAGTCTTTTATAGTGCCTAAAATACAATTCACCACCATAAAGAAATTATCTCAGGGGTGCAGAGAGATGTTATTTTAGACAAGAAGTCACCCAGTCATGGATATGAGACAGCTTAATCATAAAACTTGAATAGCTTGATTCGAAAAGCACTCATCGCTGGAAGGTTTCCCAAAAAGAGATCCTGAATGAGCCACAGCTCAAATAAAGTTCCTAAACCCAGGAATGCCAAACACACAAAAAAATGTGAAAGAATCTGCTGATTTGCAACCATGAACAGAGAAAAGGACTAATTTCCCAAATAGATTGTTCTAATTCCCTTTCCTTCAGATGTATTGTCATATTCACTGCTGGGCACGATGGCTATAATAAAGGAATGAAAACCAGTCTGTAATAGTTTTAATTCTTTCTTGTTGGTGTAAGGTGGAAAATGTTAATTCAACTGTGGAGTTCCGCAGATTAACACTACGCACAGCAATAAATTAAAACCATCCATTTAATCAGGGTTTTCACACAGGAAGTAGCTAGTCATCACATTACTCAGTTTTATAGTTTTGATTTTAATCTAGACCATCCGTCAAAATTGATATAAAGGAAATTCAAAAGTTGGCCAGAAAGATGACATGCAGATTTACTCAATGACATTTTTTTGTGTCATAAGTGCTAAGACACCTATGTTATTTTTTCTCATAATAGCCCCAAAATTGGGCAAGGATGTATGATAAAGTGAAGAAATACTGAAGTTAGACAACTCTGTGGATTTACCAGCAGGAAAGACACAAATGTATTATCTGAGAATTACAGGAGTGAGAGGTATTGACGTTCGGAGTTTAACCTCAAAATTAACATGAATTTTTGAGGCTTTCATGATAGTTTTTGTTTCTACCTAATTTCTTATCTTTCATGTGACTTTCAAAATCATGTCTTTAAATTGATTCCTTCATTCATATTTGGTTTCAAGGACTCAAAGTTCTGAGTCATAAATTCCCTCAGTTCAGACTTCACAATTGTAAAGATGATACTTGCCCTTGATGGTCACATGTATTTCATAAACTGTCCTGACAGTTTCTGCACAATTATGAATATATTAGTGCTGCTTCAGATTTATCCTGATAAGAAACCAGGACTATGTCTTTTAGTTTATCTAACTGGATACATTCTTTTCTCCAGCAACTGCATTAAACATTCTTTACTTCTAGGGATAATGATAAAAAGATAAACATAAAGCTCATTGTTGTTGATAGAAGGGGTCATTATTAAATAAAAGTGTCTATATAGAAAGCAATAACCATTATTTTAGTGGAAAAAAATGAATTATTCTCTACTATAATGAAAAAATAAACAATGGTTAATAGTACAAACAACTTATTTAAACAGAAAGAAAATAAACACAAGGAGATATATCTGAAATCTGAATAGATAATTGACTTCACCTATGCCCCACATATGAATTCAGTTGTTTAATACTTGGTATTTACTTTGTTGATGTCTGCCTAGTAAACTGATAGGCTACATTTACCTCTGTGACAGAAAATACATGAAGTCATAAGTCAGTTAAGCCAGTTCTAGCGACTTGTGAGGGTTATTTCATTTTTTAATATAAGCTATCCACAGGCAGTTCCAAACAGGTATTATTATGAAATGAAGACATGATTTAGTACGATATGAATAATAAAAGCGTGAAATCAGACAAATAAAGAGAATCCAAGAAACAAACTAAAATAACTTTTTTTCCATTAATTTCTGAAAAGTCTCAATCCCTTCACATACATTTAGTTCACACTGAGATGAAAATTTTAACATCAAGTCCACTTTTCATTTGTAGATTTGAACACACTTACTTAATCCAAATGGGTGTCACTGCTGTTGCTAAGTACATTGATTTTCTGCCCAGCTGGAGCACTACAGAAAGTAAGAAGTTTGCAGAATCATCTGACTTGATTTTCAGTGTAATCAGTTCCATGCCACAGGAGACCTGTTACAAGCCACATCTGAACATCAAAAGTCAGAACAAAGAATTTAAAATGCACCTTTAAAAAGACTTATGTAATGGCCTCCAAACACTAGGGATTTTACAAGAATTGCATTTGGCTTCCCCTCTGATACCGGTCAGATATTTTTTTATTATCTAAGGCTACCATTCGATAAATTTCGTAAATAGGTGTGCAAGTTGATCCAGATGAGTAGCTCTACTCAACAACCATCTACAGGTCATAAAAGGCTAATCTACTCAAATTCCTAGTACTTTTTCCTCCTAGTGAGGGTGCTTTACAAATGCATCTTAACACAGGGCAGAAACAAAACGCAATGCAAACAAAGTTTTTTGTGAAACCCTGGCTCAACTAACTTCAGTGGAAAAAGTCAAGTCTTCAAAGTCATCAGGAGTAGGAGCATATTTATTACATTTACCAGTCTTTTAAATAAATCCTTTTGCCTCTGCTGCTAAGTGATATTATTTTTTCCCATGCTGTGTAAAAACCAGAGTCAGAGATGGAGCAGCAATTTTTAGGACATTACTTAAACACAGAGCAAAACCAGAATACACATCCCAAGTATCTGATCCCCACCCCTCCCTTCTTTCCAGGCTCAGCTCTGCTCCCGATATCTCTACCTCCTCCCGCAGTGGCGCAGGGGCAGGGAATGGGGGTGCAGTCTGTGCTGCCGCTTCTTCCATCTTCAGTGAGTGGAGCTTCTGGAACTTGTTCCCCCTGATCCATCATGGTCCCCCTCTCACAGGAGACAGTCCTCCACAATCTTCCTCTGACGTGAGTCCCTCCCACAGGCTGCAGTGTTCCCCACACTGCTCCATCATGGGTCACTAACTTTCTCCAACTGGATTCCATCCCATGGCTGCAACCCTTCCTGAGCTGCTCTGGTGTGGGACACCCTCACATGCTGCAATACTCCCAGTGCTGAATTACAGTAGCAGGTCTACCTTTTCTCACAAGACCCCGGCCTTCTTCAGGCATAGCACCTTGATCAATTAGGCAGAAACCACATGCCATAAATCAATGTTTGCTCCACCGTAGATCTTCATGGGTGGCAGGGGGGGGCCGCCCTGCCGTCTCACTGCAGGATACAGGGTGGTCTCTGCTCTGGCACACCTTCCCCCTCTTTTCTTCCTCTGTTCCTCCACTGACCTTGGTGTTCATGCAGCTGCAGCAACTCCTCCTCACAAGTCCAACTGCTCGTCACCATGTCCCTTCTTAAATACATTATCGCAGAGGCGCAGCTGATTGGCTCAATTTTCCAAACAGAAGTGGAGCTGACTTGTCGCTGGGGGAGCTTCGAGAAGCTTCTCACAGGGGGCCACCCCTGCAGCCCCCTCCCTTGCCACCAAAAAAACTCCACCACTCACTCAATCCAGGACACCAATATATCTCCAAGCAATTAAGAACAGGATTAAGACTGAATGAGTTTATTTGCAGAAAAGGAGATTAGGAAGATTTGGGATAAATACAAGAAAAATTTTCCAGCTCAAGGTACAGAAGGGCACATAAAATGTAAATGCAAAAATTATCTACCTGTTTGCTGCATCTCATCCAGCTCCAACTACTTTCAGTGAGGTCAAAAGGACCCACAGAAAGTCCCACAGTTTCAGCTGAATAGAAATTTGGTTTAACAAATGGCCCTTTGGGGTTTCTAGATAGAACTAAGGAATAAAACATGACTGTCT